ACAGCAGCGGTCGCGCGAGGCCCGCCGCGTGTCCGCACCCCAGCACGATGCCGCTGCCAGAGAAGAAGATGGTTGGGAAAAGGCTGTGCGCCATGATCGTCCTCGGGGGCGGGTACATATGCACCGCCATGGCCATTTGTTGGATCGGGTAGTTGAGTTTGATTGTCCTCTCGATCAGCTGGCCAAGCGCAATGTTTTCGTAGAAGTTGGCTGCGCCGTAGCAGATCCCCGCAGCATGGAAGCACACTTGTGCGGCAGTTTCTGCTCTCATCAGTCTGCGCATCGCCACCCTTGACGCCGACGACCCTGCCACGTGCGCGCCCCGGAAACTTGTTACTGATTTGCTCCATGCTACAATGCTCGCGCGCCTGGTTGCGCTCCAGATCCTATGCGGCATGAACACGAACCCTATTGGCCTTTCCCCTCCACCTCCTGATGCTGGATTCTTTCCAAGCAGCAGCTCCACGATGAGGTAGAATCGCCATGGCCACGCAACCTTCTGCTCGCATTCGCTCAAAAGTTGGACATATTGCCCGTGGCTTGCAGCTCCGCCGCTCGCCACCAGTCCGACCCTTGGCCCGCGTTGCGCTCGAGGAGTTTGATGACGGAGCCAACCACCTCGCGGTTGAGGGGGTCGAGGACATTATCTTGTTGGACTGCAGTACCCCTCATGGGTGCCAGCTCCTTGAGCATCTCCCGCTGCCCGTTACGGTCTACTGCCTATCATTTCTCCCGCGCTTGCCTCCGCAGGTCCAGCAGCTGTTGCGGGTGGTTGACTGTCTGTCTTTCATGTTCCACCATTTTCTCTGGCTGCGTGCGCTCTGGTTTCTCGGCGTAGGCACGCGCCTGCGTGGCGCTTCCTGCGGTCGCGTCGTGGACCCAGCGGCTCATTGAGGGCAGTCGCTGTCGTACTCAGGGCGCCTTCCACTTTGTCCATTGTGTCCTGGCCAACCAGCGCGCCCTCTGCGATGTCCGAGAGCTGGTGGGGGAGGCTGCCGTGCTGGTGATTCCCCTCGATGCTGCTTGGCTGCTTGATCGGCTTCTCCAGCTTCTGGCGCAGAGCGTCTCTGATCCTCTGCTCCTGGACTGCAAGGGTGATTGCCGGCTTCTTGGCGTCTGCTGCCCCTGGTTCGCGATCTCGTGATTCTTCCCCTCCCGCTTGGATCTGGGTCTGCCGTTTCTCTTCTGCCCGCGGTGGTCACAGTCTGCGTCTCCTTCTGGCTGCCGAGGTAGTCGCGGTTCCCGTAGGACCCTCAAAAAAAATCGCCCCTCGTTGACGTCTGCGTGGGAAGGCCACAGAGCCAGGCGACTTGTGCCCTGGGGTGCCTCCGCAAGTCGTTGCGCCCTATGTCGCGTCGGAACCGCGCGTCCTTGCACTGCGCGGCAACGCGCTGGATGTATTAGTTTGCCCCAGCAGTACGGCACCTCCAAGCCCTGATGCAGATGTCGAGTCCGAGATATTGGATCGCTATCGGTTGTGGTTGCCGGAAGAGTTCCTCCTGGCGATCCGAGGTCCTGAATCCATTGCTCGTTCCACTTCGTCATAGGATCATCGATATTGCTGCCTGCGTTCTCCACTTTCCCGCGGGTCTTCTGATCTTGGCAGAACATGCGACACTGAACCCGAGGAGTCCCCCGTCGTCGGGGCCCCCTCGGGATTGGTTTCAAGATCAGCGTCCTGTGGCGACGTCGAACCTGCGGCGGCCCCAATTGGAGCTTCCTCTGGATCAATCATGACGCCCAATTCCTGCGGGTCTCGTCCTTCACCTCCCTGGATGTCCGTCTACATGGCGCGGCCCTCAAGGTCGGCGAACGGGCCACGGTCTCCCTAGCCCATGGCGCTGCGTGCTGGCGGGGGAAGGGCACCCCTCAGAACCCCTCCAGGACAGCGCTCGTCTCCTCCGAGTCTGGCCCAGGACGCGCCACTTGGCGGCATGCTCGGGGGGCTCGATGGACATGACCTCGTAGGTGAGGGCCATGCCGCGTCCGAAGTGCTTCTTTCGCCCCTTTGCTGGGATTTTCAGGCTCTTGCATAAGCCCATCTCCAGCGCGAGCGCGGACTTCCTGCGCTGCTTCCATTGGGCGGCGATATCCTTCCCCATGATCTTGGCGAGGATGGTGTTGTTCAGGTAGCCCGTCAGTTCCTGCTCGTCGTACTGGTGGGATGCGGCCTGCTCCGCTTCCTCCCAGACGTCCTCTGACATGGTGTGCGGGACCTCCTAGTCGTAGTACATTTGTTTATGATGTTCTTCCTGTATTGGTTGTTCTGCCAGATGCTCGAGTCCTGCTTCTCGTAACTCTTCCTGTCAACGTCGCTGCACCTCTTGCTGGCCTCGTGCGACGCTCCTGCATGCCTCCCTTGACCGTGCGACCTCGACCTTTGCGCGCGGTGGCGGTAGCGCTGCCTTCCTCTGCTGCACCATGCCTGAGATGAGGCGCGGTTGGGCCACCAGATGAAGTCGCATTCCGACGTGCGGTTTCCAGGGTACCGTCTTGATTAGCTCGAGCGAGCTGCAGCATGGTGCTTGCCCTTTGGAGATGATGGCATTGTCAAGGCATCTCGCCGCGCCTTCTGGTGGGAAACGGCTGGGGGCTTGAAGCTCTGCTGCCATGACCTGCGCGTCAAGTACTCAGGGCCAGCAGATGGTTGCGCTCATCTCTTCTGGCGCGAGGTTTAAGTCGCCCAGGGCCACCCATGGGCCCCCCCGAACTGCCGTCTTCTCCCTCGGGTTGCTCAGGATGTAGATGCTGCGGCCTGCGATTCCTATCCCGCTCTCCATGTTCACGAAAGCCACCAGGACGCGCGCGCTCCTGAGCTGCACGAAGACTGTCGCGATGTCGATGCCTTCCTCGCGGAAGTATAGTTTTGGATAACTTGGCAGCCTGCCTCTGGCTGCCAGCGCTGACCTTGTCAGCATTGCTGTGCCTCATCTGGGGCCTTGTCCTGCTCCAGGTCTAGCCTCCGTCCAGAAGCTGCTGAGGCCGCTCTTCCCGAGCGCCGCCCTGCCCTGACTCTGCTGATGTTGCCCCCGCAGCGCGCGCGGTGCTCTGGTACACCTATTACGTGTATGTCCATGTTGTCCTTGAAGTGGCCTCGAGTCTGGGGGGCCAGGCAGCGACGTCGAAGAAGTCGACGCGGAAAGTACCGCGAGGCATCTTCTCCCCCGCCTCGGTGTTCCTACCTTTCTCTCGGCTTGGCGCGATGCTCCGCTGCTTTGTGATCGGCCTGTTTGGCTTCGGCGACCTTGGCTCTGGGTTCGGCGATGAGAACATCAACTCCGGCCTTCCGAGCTTCTGCTTCGGCTGGGTTACTTTTGCTTCTTCCTTCACCTCCTGCGCTTCCACATTTACATTTTCCTGTGCAAGATAATGCCGCAGACCCTTTGGACCCCTCAGTTGGTCCCTAGCTGCGGCTGGCCTCTGCCGGTGCTGACTCCGCCTTGGATCGGTTGCCGCACGTGCGCGGTTGCGCCCCAGCTGGGTCTTCATCCCTTCTGCTGCGGTCTGGTCCGATTGTCTCTTGATCTCGGCCTGCTTCAGCGCCCGTAGCTGCTCTTGGTAATTACTAGTTTCCGCCTTGAGCTTGTCGTAGAAGTCTTTGGCTGCTGCTTAGTGCTCAGCTGCAGCGTTGGTCGCGTTCCCCAGCGCGGCGTCGGCCTGCCTCCAGGTTTCCATCTCCGCGTCGGACCACTTGTGGGCGTCGTCTGGATCACGTTCGTTTTCTGCCAGGAATGCTTGAGTGCTTGGTCCGGCTGCTGGTGCTCCCTGTTCTGGCATTGCTTCTGGAGGGTTGCCGACTTGCGCCTTCGCGATGTCAAACTCTTCCTCTGCCTCTTGAACGGCGGCGGCGTGCTCGAAGAGCTCGCGCTCGCAGTCGGCCAGGCACTGCCTGACGTTCTCGACGGATTCCGCGGCCTTTCCCCTGAGCTTCTGGGCTTTGTCCAGCTTTCTTGCGGCAGCCCCCACTGCCCGCGGCCCGACCAGCGGCGCAGCTGAAAGTTGCTGAGCTGCTGCCAGTGCGGGCCAGGTTTCCTGGTAGCTTACCCTTCTTGGGTCGCCGGTGCCCAGGGCTACGTTCTTCTCGGCCGCGAGCTCCGCCATGTCCGCATTCTTGGTGAGTGGGCTGCTTCCTTTTACTGGCCAGCCGTCTGCCCACTTGACCGACTTTCGTGCGCCGCGGCCGTCACTGCGCCAGTTGTCAGCGCGGAGGCGATGCCACAGTTGGGCCAGGCTGGCTAGCCACGCCCCACACTGGCACTTGTCCTCCGCACTGGCGGTGGAGCGGCAGCACCTCCAAAGCCCGCGGCCACGCACCACGCAGGAGAGCCCATAATCGAATCGATAAGTCGGATCGGCGATCGAAATGAATCGGATCGGCGAAAATCGGCAGCCGAGTCGGGAAAAGTCGGATCGGCGGAAATCGGCAGGCTACTATGCGTCCCATAAGAAGTCGGAATCCGAATCGGAATCCCAAGTCGAATCGAATCGGAATCGGAAGCCATCGAAATCGAATCGAATCGAATCGGAGGAGTCGACATGAGCCCTGCCACGCAGTTGCTGCGAGGCGGGCAACTGCCACTCCGCTGGTCCTTCGGCCAACTCCGCCAGTCGCCGCTCGCCCCGCCGCCGCCTCGCACCGCCCCGGATTTGACTGCGCGCGCGCCCGACGCCCGGCTGAAAAGTGGCCTCGGCCCAGAGGCGCCCCCGATAGCTTTGGAGGAGGAGGAGGAGGAGGAGGAGGAAGAAGAAGCAAAGGAGGAGAAGCCTCCTCCTCCTCCTCTTCCTCCTCCTCGTCTTCCTCCTCCTCCTCCTCGTCCTCCTCCTCGTCCTCCTCCTCCTCCTCGTCCTCCTCCTCCTCCTCCTCCTCCTCCTCCTCCTCCTCCTCTTACTCCTCCTTCCTCCTCCTCCTCCTCTTCCTCCTCCTACGACGACGACGATGACGACGACGTCGACGATGACGACAACCACGACGACGACGGCCAGCGGCGCGCCGCCGGGAG